AAGTGGTTTTTTGGTGAAAGAAAAAAAAAGAGAGAGAGGGAGGGAGAGGGAGAGAGAGAGAGAGAGAGAGAGAGAGAGAGAGAGAGAAAAGTGAAAGAATTTTCTTCTTTGACTTTTTGTTTCGTTTGCCATTTGTTTTGGCCAAATTTCTATTTCTACTTTCTCATTGTCACCAATAGTATTTTAATGTCGTTTTTGTTTTTTGGAATCAGCCAATTTTCTCGAAATAAAAAACAAAACAAAAAAATCAGACCCAAAAGAGTATGTGAAAGAAATGAAATGAAAAAGAAGAAAAAAATTGATGAAACTAAAGACGACGACGACGAATTGTATTGAATGAAATGAGGAGACCAAACAACCAAACAAAAAAATCGCCATCGGAAAATGGTCCAAACATTTTCAATTCGGTTTTTTCTTCTTTTGCTGTTTCTGTTTCGTTTAAACAATGGCACGACTTTTTTTTTATTTTATTTCACATTTTGTGAAACAACGAACGAAAAAATTCGGATGCTAAACACTCTGTGTGTGTGTTTCTGTGTGTTGTGTATATGATTGTGATTGTTGATTATGATTCATGACACGAAAAAAACTTTTTTGTGTTTTCTTCGTTTACCATTCATTCGTTCGTTTAACATTTATTTTTTTTTATCATTTCACGAATATAAATACAAATTCTGTGTGTGTGTGTGTGTGTGTGTAAGTTTGTTTGTTATCCAAACGAATTCTTTCGTTTCTTTCTTTCTTTCGATTATCAATTCATTTCATTTCTTTTGTATTTTGTGTATTAGCCAACAACAAATTCTTATTCAGTTTCGTTTGATTTTCTATTTTTTGAGTATTTTTTTATTTTTCGTTTGTTTGTTTGTTTCAAGTTTTTTTTTACATTTTTGTTGAAATTTCTCTCTCTCTCTCTCTCTCTCTCTCTCTCTCTCTCTCTATTTGGATTCGGCTATAGTTTAGGATGCCAACTGAATGGCTGACTGACTGACTGACTGACTGACTAAATGGCTGACTGATTTGTCCAAAACCAAAAAAAAAAAAAAAATCTAAATCCACCCGCCAAACGCCCATCCATCCATCCATCCACCCATCCGATGGATATCACCAAATAGGATCTAATATTAGATTTTGATGATGACCATTATCATCATTTTTGTAGGAAAAAAAACAAACAAAAAATCTTTGTTGTTGCTGTTANTTTCTCTCTCTCTCTCTCTCTCTCTCTCTCTCTCTCTCTCTCTCTATTTGGATTCGGCTATAGTTTAGGATGCCAACTGAATGGCTGACTGACTGACTGACTGACTAAATGGCTGACTGATTTGTCCAAAACCAAAAAAAAAAAAATCTAAATCCACCCGCCAAACGCCCATCCATCCATCCATCCACCCATCCGATGGATATCACCAAATAGGATCTAATATTAGATTTTGATGATGACCATTATCATCATTTTTGTAGGAAAAAACAAAAAACAAAAAATCTTTGTTGCTGTTAACATCATAAACAGAAACAAAATGTTATTGTTTCTTAATAATACTAATATATTCTATGTGTTTTGGTTCATTTGCAAAAAACAGAAAACAGAAAAACAAAGCAAAAAAAATCTCGTTTGTTTCAAATTCGTTCCAACTGATTTCTAATTCTTTTCTTTTTCACAAACAAAGTTCATCAAAATAATGAAATGAAAATTAATGAAACAAAAATAAAACTACCATCCATCCACACAAGCATCGCATGGTGTGTATAGATTGTAAACATTAAGCAAAACAAAAAACGAAAAAAAACAAAGTTCAAATGAAAAAGAATGAAAGAAATCGAAATCGACCCAAATTTTCCAATGGAAGAAAATTTTTATTCTCTGAGAAAATATATTCCCAAACACTTTTATCGAATAATGTTCTACTGTTTGTTTGTTTGTTTCGTTTTTTAAACTTCTTAACGTTTTTCTTTCTTTCTTTTGTCATTTTTTTTTGGTTCGATTCTATCAGAATCACCACCAGAAACGACGACGACGAGCTTTCTTGGAAATTTTCTTTCTTTCAGCATTGTTATTGCTGTTGTTTCGTTTTTTTTTGTATTTTATTTAAAATTCCAATAGCGAAAGAATCAAGAAAAAAAATTCAAATACAATTTGTGATTGCCCATAACAAACAAACAAGTGCTAAGAATCGTAATAATAATGATAATAGAAATTGAATGCATTTTCTCTCTCTCTCTCTCTATGTTTTTGCTGGGCGTTCTCTGTTACTGGATCTTTGCTGTTGTTTTTTATCTTTGAAAATTTGTATTTAAACAAAACAGTTTCTTCGAAGGAAAAACTGGAAAATTGAGAAAAATTCTTCTGTTTTGTATTTCCGAGCTGTTGAATACTGGTGATTGAAACCTAGAAAAAAGAAAATCTCCACATTAT